ACCCAAAGATAAACCTGTGTCTCTGATGGTGACTTTCAGGGACTGAATACTTTATCATCATGAACAGGAACAGTCAGCATTTGGGGTTCTGAAAGGTATAACCTCCCTAGAAAGGCTTTCCTGCTTTTGTATTTTCTATAATATTTCTATTTTTCTTGATACTTCTCCTACTATAGAAAGGCCTTTATTTGATATTATAGCTTTAATAATAATAATAATAATTTATATAATTTACACAAGTAAATAAATTATAATAAAACTGCATATAAATATCAGAAGCTGGTATCCCTCTGAGTTAAGGGATCTCCTTAAACCCTGTCATCTTGGTCCTCATGACTAGGGGATCTACATGAAGGGGTACCTTTGACACTAACCCACCAACATGGCAGATTTTATTTTCATGTTTGTGGTGATTATATTAAGGGAGTCTTTTTGGTTAAGCACTAGTTGAGGAATGGAGGTCAGGTGAAATGAGGCGAGAGGCACCCACTGCACTTGGCTAGATAGGGTTCAAGGCAGCTTGTACAAGAGCCAGACTGGAGAAGAGTCCGGAAGGGAGCAGGTGAGAGGCTGAAGACTGGAGAAGAGGCCGGAAGGGAGCAGGTGAGAGGGTGAAGGAGGGGTGGGAAGATCTTGACTTAGGAGACTTTCATATGGAAAAGAATAGAGACATAAAGTAATAATGGCCACACGACAATAGATGAGTAAAGAAATGCTCTTCAGAACTGAGAGGTAACAGATGGGCATGGCAGCAGCTGGGGATGATCCGAAAAATGGATGCAGGAGAGATAGGAAAATTGGGTTTTGACAGGACTAAAGAGACTTCTTTCTCGGTCTCAGGAGGAAAACAGAGTGCAGGGGACAGAGTAAGGGTGGGACGAGGAAAGAGTTCTGCTTGGTTCCATTTTCTCAAGCGAATGACAAGCAAGCTCCTGGGGAACTCAATGTAACTATTCTGTGAATGGTTATCGGCCCCATTGTAATCTATGGGCCCCACTGTCATCTATGGGGAACCCAGCTCACTTCCTGGCTCAGAAACCTGGGATGCTGATGATTCCCTGATCTATACTCAATCCCTTCACCTTTATTGCCATCTAGTTTCACAACTGACAAGATAGCACTCATTATAAATCAAAACATTGATCGAGAGACAAAATTTTGATGTTCATCGTGGGCTGTAATGGCAACGTGTTGGGTTTCTGTTTAGTCTGCATATGTGAAAACAAACTCCTGTGTGACCTGCAAAGTTCCTCAGTAAAATGAGAGTGTATGGCACAGCCTATAAGCCATCTGAGTCAAGCGAAGGTTCACCATTTGCTTTTTGCCGAGCAGGGCTTCGGTTCCGCTGTAGCCAAGTGAAGATGTCAGACTGTGGTTACGGATTCTCTGCACACTGAAGAGTCCTCTGTCCAGGCTGTTCTTGGAAACAGCCACATCAAAGCTGCCTGCCTTCCTTTCAGGCACATATTGCTTCACTATTTAATTAAGCTGCATTGGATGTCTGACCATAATATACTCAGACATTTAAAGTGTTACTTTCACTTTCAAAGAGATATTGAAAGTTCTGGCCACCAGTGAGGTATCTCTGGAAATCCTGACACACTTCTGTGTCTACTGTTAAAAGGGGATGCTTTTCAGTTGTGATTTCCTTGGAGTTCTTTGGCATATGCTTATCTGAGGTTATGACATTGAGTGCAGATCACCATGATGCAGAGCACAGGGCTGACCAAGTGCTTCCTCAACCAATCAAAGTTAAGTAAAAAGACATAGGCACAAAAATCATAGCCAACGGCAGCAATGTCATAGGCCTGCATAGGACATGTAGAGAGTCTAAAACTGTTTAGGAATGTACCCTACAAATTTTAAAACCGTTTTAAAGCAGATTGTCAAACCACAAATACTAAGGACCTTAACTGACATCATTTTCTTAGTAGCCCTTTCTCCTTGGCTCTTCTCTGTGTGGAAGTAAACAGCCTTGGCCTACCTTCCCCAGCAATTCTTTTAGAATGCTTCATTTGGAGTTGGTATTTCTGTCAAAACCCACCAATGCAAGCCACTAAAATTAATGAGTATTTCTCAAGTCCTGGTGGGGTCACAGGAAAAATGAGGTCTCTGGGTGGAGATGACCTCAGCCAATGGCCACCTCACAGTCTAGGTGAGGACGGCCTCAGCACATGCGAGCGAGCGAGCGAGCCTCATGGCTGCCCCCTCCCCGCGTGCGAGTTTCTGTCAGAGAATGGGTCTTAACGTTCTGCTTTCTCCCACTCGTGCTTAATTGCTCCTGAGTGTTGGAGTGCCTGGCTTCCGGCCTCCGATCTGTTTCTTCAGCTTCCAGGTGGCGCAGAGCTATTTTTTCCTCCCTCTCTTACAAACCGGAAGCAGAGGTTCCCTCTCGTGC